AGTTTAATGCATGTCAGAAATATCAATCGAAAGCATTTCACCAAAGCGACTATGAAGCTTCCGCATTCCCGCACGTAAGCAGTCTTAAAGGCAGACGTAGAACTTCGGTTTTCTGCAGGGAAGACAATCCTCTTAGCGCTGCCCTCTGCTAAGCTGCGAAGGGAGCCAAGTTGGGGCAAAGTAAAAAGTGGAGAGCATATAGGAAAGGAGGAGGCGGGCAAGAGTAGAAAGCGCGAAGTGTACTTCGGCCTTTCAGTGTCTGAGTCGAATGGTTTTCTTGCGTCCCAGGAAGAGCTTATAAATTATAAAAAGCCGTCATAGAATACAAGCAAAAAAATCAGTAACGAACGAAGCGTCGATTAACAAACATCAGAAAGCAATAAGGACCTGACATTTAAAGAAACGATTACTATATCAAAACTTTCGGGTCACGAAAGGTATTTATATTTCGGTTCACAAAACATCCGAGCTCAACGGTGCCACGATCCGATGAAGTCAATTAAACACCACCAAAAGTATATCGTCATGGCGCTCGTCGTCTTCGTTAGTTTTCTGCAACGCTACTAGAACAACTCAATTGGGAAACTGCCATAAAGCCGGTTTTGAAAAAGTGGCTTCGATCCGTACTCGAGATCCGAACTAATGTCGATCGCGACGCCGCCATTTCTCCAGCAGCGGCCACTCCGCGGAAACTGCACGGCTGAACATATTGGTTCAGGTAGAGTTGCGTAAGGGCCTGTGACGCCATCTCACAGTGCCATACCGCAGTACTTATATAAATGAGCTTTCATGCTTTGACTCGTCGCTAAAGGGCGGCGCTATTATCGTATTTAATTTTGTCTCGGTGCACGCAAGCGATCCGGGTTTCAAGGGTGTGTTTCCCAACCGTGTTTTGGTAACGTTGGTTTCCTATCCACGACTAAACCAATCGGGCACAGTGAACGCGCCGTGATCCTGCGCTCTACTCTAACGTGAGTATGGTTTCACCGCTAATGGCAAACACCCAGAGACGATGAGCGACATGACGCTTCGCATTTAAAGTGGTTTCATTGGCACCATCGGATGGTAGTGTTGGCTACGCTTGAACTTAGTGGGAAATATAGTATTCGCGCAATCCGAAAATGCTGTATTTCAAATATTATAGAATATCCTATTGGGTTTGCTGCTTACCGTGTTTCTTTTTTGGTCAAACGGCTTACCAGAATGTTGAGCACTTTAGGGGTATACGTTCGGGAAATTATAACTGCATGATGCACGATACGAGTCCAGAATCCCAGCCTATCGCCGCTGGCATAGCCTCTTTTATACTCACAAAGCCTGGCTGTTCGATGACGGAGCCATAGACGGCCCGGTCGCAGATTTGGCGAGCGAGGAAATGATAGCATAGAGCATTTCTTAGTTAGTCTGGTATTCAGCGCACATCTTTTGCAGCGGGGAGGACAAGAAACATGGTTTTCAAACCCGACGAGAAAAGAAGCGGTAGCCCGAAGAACGCGAGTAGCACTTCCGGATATTTCATCGCTTGGGACAAGAGTGTTTCGGCGACTCACCGCCACAGGGTACCCGTTACACGACTCTTGTCTGCCGCTCTAACTTTTCACTTTCGGCGACCGCGTCACGTGGCCATCTGCCGGGCTTTGTCAGTATAGCCGAGACTATGGCACTGGATAAAATTTCCATCTACACACTGAACCAGCGTCGCGTTATCTAAAAAAATGTGGACTTCAAGCTGTCGAGACACTTAACACCTACTTCACTCTTCTTGAAGGAATTCGCTTATTTTTTACTCCATCTTTTTTGCCGAAACCCCGAGAGACGTGGTTCGCCGAGTGTATGTTGTATAGCTCGCAGACGAAATGAGGGAACTAACGATTTTAAGGCATTTTAAACCATCAGGAAAAATTAGTTTCTAAACGTATCGCGCTGCGAGTTATTACAGAAATGCAAGCAGGTGGGAGAAGTTTATAGGAAAAAAAATAAAGGCATTTACTTAACTCGTTCAAGGGAAGAATTTTATGCGCCATTCCTCCCTGTGAAGGTGGATTACCAGCGAGCCTGTTTAGCACACGACACAGACCCGCCCCAGGGAGCCGGAGGAAACTAGACACGCGCGACGGGACCGCCACCCTGCGGAAAGTAGACACGCACGAATGGACCGCCACCCCAAGAGAGCGGGAGGAAAGGAAACTAGGTACGCGAGCGGTTTGGAACAATGACAAAGAGAGGGCGGTGCGAGCGTGGGCATGGCCGACGCCGGTCGCACAGCGGCGAATCTTTGAGAAACCTTTATCAACGCGAAAGCCTTATATGTCTCATCGTTCAGTCGACCTTCAAACTCCTTGAGCGAAAACAGGTCGGCGACACGAAAAGTACGAAAACACGTCGGCGACACGAAAGGTACCTAAACGAAGATTATAAATGAAACAGCGCCAAGAGCGCGTCGTCAGAGAGCGTGCTCTCTTCGGAGGTTCGATATCACCGGGACCGCAGCCGACGCCTTGATCCGAGTGAGCCAATGAAACGACGCCAGAAGTGCGTCGTCAGAGAGCGCTCCGTCTTCGGAGGTTCGCTATCCCGTTTAAATCGGCACTTGGGCTCTCTCCTTCAAGTCATCTTAGGGATAACGTAAGAGACTCTGAATTCTTATCTACCTTAGAGTCTACTGACCTTAAAAATGGTGACTGCTGATAACTAATTTACTGAATAGACCTCTTGCTAAATTATCCAAGCATCCAGGAGAATGCTGTGAATGGAGTTCCTCGCGCCGCACAAGCCAGCATCGGCAACAGCATAGCCTCCTCTATACTATGGCAGCAGCTACTGTTCTAAAGGACAAGCCTAAAACAAATGGCATCTTACACGCGCGTTAGTCCCAACGCTTCATTTTTGTTATTCACTTCGAATCTTTTATACGGGAAGGCGTGCGCGTGCGGCGCCGGCGTTTGCAGCAGGTCCTGTTCTAAAGCACAAGCCTTAAACAAATGGCATCTTACACTCGCGTTCGTCAACGCTTTATTTTGGTTATTTACTTGGAATCTTTATACGAAAAAGGCGTGAGCGTGCGGCTCGTGCGGAGGTGCGAGCGTAGAGTCACTGCTCACGAAATATCCACGGAACCCTAGCCATAAACAGCTTGGCTCTAAAAAAAGGAAACCTGTTCTGGGCAATCTACTTTCCAGACAGACGCACTCGTAGAGAAGTGTTGATGACAGATCTCGTGTACCATGTCGAGGGAGCGCCGGGCAATTCGGGTTATTTTGCGGGATCATCCGCTATCAGCCGAATCGGGCGGCGCTTCCTCGACGCGACGTACACTGTCGGTCGGCAGCATGCAAGGACTGCGAAGTGCTGGCGCATTTTCTGAAATAGGTTGTTACTTTTCAACGAGTTAACTTTACAATATTCGCTGTAATCTTCCACTACAGGTTTGTATTTATCTCTGTAGTCAACGTTAGCGCGATACGTTGAGAAACAGATCTTTGCGGGGCTGTCAAATATGTGGAAAGAGTGTGTACTTGTTTAACATTTCATCATATCGTTGAAATACATACAGCTATTAGTCTGATAAGGATTTATTCTTTTTTTAATTAGTTTACATGCCTCGCATACATGGGACGAAGTGCTTCGATCATAAATCCATCTTATTGCTGACTCTGAAACAACATCGTTTACGCGGGATCTTTTTTTTTTTTTTTTAAATCTTGGCAAAGTGCATTAATTCATGATGCGATGAAAATTTGTTGGCCATATAAATAAACTATCATGGACCCAACGGTAATCTCTATAGACAGAGCATGTTTTACATGGATCATGTTAACACGATGTCACACTGAGCTAACACTATGTTAACTCAGACCTATTAAAACTATGTGAATTATCTTTTCAAACGTATTTTTAACTCCACTTCCTTTAAGTTAAAAATACGTCTGAGATTATACTACAGTTTAATTTTTTATGTCTTATATATACTCAGTAGCGCTATCGTAAAAAACGCGAAAGCTCAGTAACCCTTATTCTCATTAGGTTTCTATTAATATTGCCCTCCTACAAAAATATGAATCCGTGCTTGGCCCACTTTCAGGCATTTCAATAAATATAAGTATATTCGTAAATAAAAATGATTACACATCCTGTCAAAAAAAAAGGGGGGATCAACGCGAAACTGAACATAAACATTTAATGAGGCGTAGTTGCGTCTTCAAACTTAAACAAACAAACAAAAACAAAAAAACACACGATGCCCCGGCGACGTCAGAGGAACTGGTCCGATGCAGGGCATTACTTTTTTTATGCTTGCGGTAGGCTCAGGAATGTTTTCTACTAGAATAGACTATGACAACCGAGAATGGCGTATAACGTTCCTGAAGATCAAAAGATTGATTGCCCACGCCACGCGCGCGACATTTTCTTATTTATTTATCAAATATATTTGTGTGTAACGCGCAACTGATATCGCTTTCCTTTCTTTCTAATGTGCTGTCGTATTTAATCAGATTCGTAACACTCCCTTGGTCATAATATTTCTTAGCACTTTTAATAAAAAAGTACCGAATTTAATTTTCAGCCTACCACATAGTCAACACATGGCGCACGTAGTGGCCCTCTGTCTAGAGATGATTCCGCATTCACAGTGATTGAAGAGCGAATAACTGACGACTTGTATGGACGGATGGTTCTACATATAACAGTGAGCAAAGATAAACTTACATAAAGCTTACCCAAAAGTGAGGTAACTAATGTGAAATGTCAAGCACAAAGTTTTTCAGCGACTTCAGCGTTATCCTCACTGTCGATTCGCATACTTATTGTCAAGGTCAAAACCTTCCCTCGGTATATTTAGTCGCCGAGCTTCAGCCGTAGGCCACAGTGATTGGCTCTTTGGGTGATCTCTGTGAAAGGCGTTTCTAGAACGTGTTTTGCCCGCTCGTGTTTAAAACATTGAGCAATGTTAAATTGAGAGGCTGTTTGTCGCTTCATTCAACTTTTGAACTTTTTTTCAGAACCTATTCCAGAGGGTGCTTTCTGCAAAGACCGAGTTCCGGGCCAAGGCTCTTCCTTACGCCGGCTGCGTGGGTACCCTGGTGCTTTCGGTACCCGTTCTGCTCCTAGGACTCGTTGCCAGAGCTGCCAGTGTGTAATATTTATAAATGAAAAAGTCTATTCATTACCACGAAGGTTACTGCATTGTGCCCGCTAACTGCAGGAGGAGCCATCCGGGAGAACTAGGGGAATATGAAAATACCTCTGTATAAAATGGGCCAAACGCCTTTTTCAGTCGCGAAGGTTATTCGAATGATGGTTAACATCAAGGGAAAGCCAGGCAGTAATCTTAACTCTTATTTGATTTGATTAACCAACGCTGAGTGTAGTACTAGGGGTAATATTTCGTACAAGAAAGGGAAGCGCCAGCATGTTTTCCTTCATCTCTCCATCAGATCTAATGGGTGGTAAAATAAGTAAGAAAACAAAATATAGGAAATATATTTTTGTTTATCGTTGTTTCTGGTATCAGATAGTTAATGCTCTAGAGATCACTTAGGAGTGCGAAATAGTAAGAAAGAACGAGTGAAAAAATAGACGTTCTAAATAAATTACCCGGTCGTCAGCAGCAATTCGAAAAACAAAAAGAAAAAACAAGTCATTCTTGTTTTTTATTATAAGCTAAGCCTGCAGGCTTGAGCACCCTTTAGGATATGACGCGCATGTAATATTGACAGTGACTAGAATTCTATCTTTGATTATTATGATATGAATGATACGAATGACAATATAAACATAAACGCCGGAGTTGATGACGGAAAGCACTAAGCCCCTAGAAATATGTGCGGATTCTGCCACGTACTTAATACATTGCAACACAACCACGTCAGTCACACTGACTCTCTAATAGGTGGAGTGTCCGAACCGTTCTACGAGTCGGCATAATTTTGTTTGCCTGTCGTCAGGTCATTTATGGACCCAGGGAGTGGTGTTGGCGGTACGCGTTGAAAGGAACGGCTCAGATTTGCAAAACACGGACGTATAATGTACTTGTGTCACCTATTTTGAGTTACGGGTAATGGAAAACGTAGTTACGTTCTCGTTAAATCTTCCAAAGACATCAAAACAAGTGCACTTTATTTTTAGTGTTTCTTGGAACAGTTACATGTATACTTGCACTCATTCCACATACCTTCAACAATTTTCGATTCTTCTTAGCGCACGAACACTCCCACTTCCTTGAAATATGCGCTTATGCATACCTCTAATATAGAAAACAGTAAAATGTTTTATTCCTAAATAAAATATGAATGCAAAAGTAACCTTCGTTACTTTTTGTTGGTAACAGTAACGCGTTCCTTTTATGCTGAGTTAGAGCAGGTCGTTAACGACTCCATTTCATTTGGAAGGAACGCGTAATGCATTTCTTTGCTTATTTGCTTTAACGTCAACACTGCCAGAGAGGCGTCAGCTCCTACTCTGAGGCTTCCAGAACTCTCTTTGACAAGTTCACTCTTCCGGATTGTACAACCTTAGCCTTACGTATTAACTTCGTTGCGTATGGTAAAGCCGCGCAAACAAGTGATATTTTTTTTCCTGGTACAATCACAGCAAGGCTATTATCCAATGATGTTTTAGGATTTCAAAGTAATCTTATTGTTTCATAACTAGCGAGACCCCCCCCCCCCCCCTCCAACGTTAGGACTCTTTGATGTCCTGCTTTATTTCTACCCCTGTCTACAGCCCTATTTCGGCATGTTTTAACTGCAGAAAGTATATTCCCTGCCAATAACTGTATGCTCCCGTCCAGGATGGCAAGACACGTCTTACAACCCCAAGATTCTGGGACACGATCTACTTGCGCCCTCTCTTGGTAGGTGTGCAATATCGCTGAAAAACAGTCGGATCTAGCGATCCGAATAAAATCACGCAAAGTTCCCCCGGAATTATTGAGATCATTGTGATTGATAACTTCAGGAAAATTTTCACCACTTCGTCACTCTTTCTCTAGGTTCCCAGGAAATAAGAGTGAGTTCCCCCATAGACTGCCATTGAAATCTCGCTTTATTTTTCACGTTCAATGAGTTAATAAAGCAACCCCTCAATATTTGAATAAGTTCCCGCAGGTATATATTCTAGAAGATTTATGCTATCGAAATATTCAAGCAGTTTTCATGTATATTAATTATCCCAGGTTCCCAGCGAGATAATTAATTACACCTGTAGCTTCCGCCGCGTAAAGGCATCTTTCCAACAAGAAGAGGAGTGCTACGGGAAAGACTACTTTACACTCGTCAGCAAAGGCGCACTTTTTGGCGATGTGCGCCTTTGCTGGGAACCTGCAGAAAACACCTCAGACGTTTGAAAGTTCTTCAAACATGTACCCTGGTAGCTGTTCAATGTGATTCCCGGGGAACTTTGCGAGATACGTCTTGGTTGCCGAGATACGCAGCACTGAAGTAAGCTCCTTTGACAAGATCTCTCCCCGAAGCAGTGAACCGCGCATTTTTTGGCGAAGTGCGCCTCCGCTGGGAACCTACAGAGAACGCCTCAGACGTCTGAAAATCATTAAAACATGTACCCTGGTAACTGTTCAATATGATTCTCGGGGAACTTTGCGAGATATGTCTTGGTTGCCGAGATACGTAGCGCTGAAGTAGGCTCCTTTGACAAGATCTCTCCCCGAAGCAGTGAACCGCGTATTTTTGGCGAAGTGCGCCTCCGCTGGGAACCTACAGAGAACGCCTCAGACGTCTGAAAATCCTTACAACATGTACCCTGGTAACTGTCCAATATGATTCCCGGGGAACTTTGCGAGATACGTCTTGGTTGCCGAGATACGTAGCGCTGAAGTAGGCTCCTTTGACAAGATCTCTCTCTGAAGCAGTGAACCGCGCATTTTTTGGCGAAGTGCGCCTCCGCTGGGAACCTACAGAGAACGCCTCAGACGTCTGAAAATCCTTAAGACATGTACCCTGGTAACTGTTCAATATGATTCCCGGGGAACTTTGCGAGATACGTCTTGGTTGCCGAGATACGTAGCGCTGAAGTAGGCTCCTTTGACAAGATCTCTCCCCGAAGCAGTGAACCGCGTATTTTTGGCGAAGTGCGCCTCCGCTGGGAACCTACAGAGAACGCCTCAGACGTCTGAAAATTCTTAAAACATGTACCCTGGTAACTGTTCAATATGATTCCCGGGGAACTTTGCGAGATACGTCTTGGTTGCTGAGGTACGTGGCACTGAAGTTTCCTACGTTTATGGAAATGATCAAACCGCTAAGTGTTTTGCCAAGGTACGGCTCAGCTGGGAACCTGTGGAAAAAATTGCAAAGTCTTGGTCATGGTGACAAAGCTGAAGGGCACAGAATGTTCGTGCGCAAAGATTGGCGAAGATTGACATATGATGTGTCAATGGACGTTTTGCAGAAATACGGGATCGAGAGTAAATGGATCTGTCACCCTTTCTCTCTTCGTGCTGGCCAAGAGGAGAGGAACGAAGGCTTCTTTGTATTTACCTCAGGGCGAAAGATAATCGTAAAGATAAACAAAAGTGGTTTAGAGGGAGCTTGATCTAGGTCACCTCGACACAATAGTCTATTCACTTGCTGAGTCAGCGCCCACAAACATGGCCGCCACACGATAAAGCAACGCTTTTATTCGAGAGCTCTGTAAAAAATAAAAGAAGGCAAAGCAAACTCGCCAATCGGATAACCACTTTTGCCTTCAGCGGTCATGCTTGTGTGTAGTGTAAAATTATCGCCCTCCTAACGTTAATATTAACGGAGGAAACTTTGAACTCCGTAGCAATAATTTGTCGCTAATTATCTAATTAAATAATGTAGCTATGACTATTACATTGCTTCCTCAAATGCCCAAGAACAGTGGAAAGATGTTTGCGTAGCAACTTTTGATTCATTTTTATACGTTGCTTTTAATAAATTAAAAACTGTTCTCTTGCCTTTCAAGATAGCCGCGGTGCGACCGCAGCCTTAATGGATGCTACGCGCATGGAAACACCAGGGCTTGCACATTTGAATTTTGACACCATCATACTTTAACCGGGCTAACGCACAGATTGAACAGGAGTGCTCAGCGTTGTGCATGGCTAGGTTGAGACTCGTGCTCAGTCACTGCGCGGACGTCAGGGTCAGGCTCAGTCGCTAAGTTGGTAACGTCGGAGTGTGGGGACTTCCATTAATAAAGAGGGGACAGTTAACAGGCTTTCATTAGAGCATAGGTGGTGTTTGCTCGACGCGCTATCTATAGACCTTTCCAATAAACGCCGTCTGCGAGCTGCCATTTTTCTTTGCTGGGCTGTGTAACGCCTTCTGAGCACGCGCAATAGCTCCCTTTGCGAAATATCGTACGCTGCGCCTGCGTCCACAGCCCAGTGACTCGGCATTTTTCGCCCGGGAGATAAGCGATGGAAAGGTGTATACTCTGTATCACTAAAGCCGTGCAGTGACGCCAAAGCTACAGCCTCGTATGCCAACCAGAAAATCAAACGGCACTCTGCACTATCACTCTGCGGCGCATGAGTCCGCGTTGGCGGTGTCCGCTCACATGAGCAAAAAGCAGACGATGTTCGATCTTCTGATTCGCTTACGACGGCTGTAACTTTGGCTGTATTGCGCGGGTTTTGTGAGGCGGAGTACAGTTATATAACAGCTGAATTATGGAACTGATAGCGCATGCACGATATTTTTGATGGCCGTTAATTTCTTGTCGCTTCCCTCTTGACCAATCTTTGCTGAGTCGGCGTTGTTATCGACGATGAGTTTAGATTACGCTGGCAGCTTTCTGGCACAAAAGGCTGGAGCGATCACGGCTAATGCAATCGGGTCTTCAATGCTTGTGCGTTCGGAGACAAGGTCGCGGGACAGGATCCGGACTTCAGTGAATATTTATGAAGCGGTATGAAGGCATAACTAGTTTGTGCCCATGAGCTATGCTAAAAATATTACTTTCCTTAGAACGAAGAGTTCGAGCAGTTTGTATTCCCATTGACAGAAATTGACAATTCCGACGTTGTTTTTTTTTTTCTTTTTTTTCTTTGTGTCGTGTTTCAGAAAATGCCTAATCCATAAATTACGCTGGCGCATTCGCAGTCAATACACTCCACAATAGAGACAACCTCCATCGGTTTAACTATTTAACTAGCATTTTGATTAATGCCTCCCCAATTAGCGTCGAAATTGTCGTTGACTGAGTCATTGTAGGGAATCTGGGTGGAGAGCTGGCTGAAAAAAATAGATCAGCCGCTGGTATGCCGTTCGCATAGACATAATCTTATTGTGGCTGTGAGTTTTTTTCTGTTTAGACACGATAGGCGCCTTTAAACCCACGCACTCGCTGTGTTTGTATCGTCCCTAATTTTTCCCCGGTCTCGGGGTTTTGTCTAAAATGTTACTTGCTTAGTTTCATTATATTGCTCGTGATTACAGCTTAGTTACTTTACTACTGCTCTGATATTTATATAGTGAAATATCTTGAATTTTAATGAATAAATGCCTAATTTACAACTCTGTATTGATCGTCTATTCCAAAAAAATAGCTACTTCCAGTAGTTACATGTCAAATGAAGATTGGTTAGGCATGCGCCCTTCTTTCGAGATATGTTTTTCGAGGTTATATATGTTTGCTCAACGTATTAACATAAATATGTATATTCTTTTACGTTGTGTTGTCGCACGCGGTTCCAGTATTTGTGGTACAATATTAAAATTTGCGGAGTAGCAACACCTAAAAAGACAGCCATAGAATTTTTACATATACTTTCATGCTAGCAGTAATCCAGGCACAGATTAAGCAAGAATGAATACAGTCGTGCATGTAACATAGTACGCTGGATGGGATACATAAGATCTAATGGAAAGGACAACGACCTAGATGGGGCGCTTTCTCGAGTTTCTTGTCCATCTGTGTTTGTTTTGAGATACGTCGTAGTACAAAATGCATTTACTGTTTCCCTGCAGTAGTAGTAGTACAATATGTATGTATCGCTTCTCAGAAAACGATTCATGTCATCTTTTCTTGGTTAACGCCATCTGGGGTGAAAGGAAAGGAAGGGGGAGGGAAAAAGGTAACAACATATGCTTCGCCAGCCCTCATAGACGGAGAAATAGATTCCACTATGTGTTTTCTATGAGAGCTTCCCATATTCGGGAGGGCCCATCCTTCGTATGATGTGAACCTCGTTTCCTCTTCGGGAGAGCTTATGCCACGCTTCGCGATATCGCGAGACCCCGGCCCAGTCCGTTACGAAGTGCGAACATATCGCCAGGGCCCTACAGTGTTCAATGTTGGGGGCGATTCATAGGTCGTCTGGGTCCGTAGGTCTGCAAAACCTTTTCTGCTAGAAAAGAGTGATTATAGCTGATAACTGGCTTGGTCTGATGCCGCCTGAGAATCACCTGTTCCCACCGGCTCTAGCCCGGTGAAATAGGGTGAGAATCTGGTGGGAGGAGGGAGATTAGCCTGAGTTTGCAGGCTAACAGATCATCTCTCTATGCCTCGTCTGAGACCGCGCTATGCCGGGCCTATCTTCTCGCGGTTCGAGGAACCGCGAGTGAGTGGGTACATCCGTACTGCTGCGCAATCGCGGTGTTGTTCAACCTTTTGTTTCCCGGATTGCCTTCGTCACCCGAGATCCAGTCTATGACGACTCGGTTATTTCACGAAGCTTCGAATTTGAAGTGTGACGCCGCCCTGCCAATAGAAAAGTGTGCATTTTCTGAAGGCTTCTGGCGAATCGGTGCACATGAGTGATTTGGGTCGCTGGTGACTGTTTGTGGCTTCCCTGGCCACCTGTAATATGGCCAGCCGCTTTGCCGTCTTCTGGATGCTCGCCTTGTGTGTTTCTTCTCTCCTCGTTTGACCGCGGGTAGGATGGTCCCGACTTTCAAGGGATGCACGTTCAGGCTCGTTTGTGTCCGCGTCGGTTTAAGGGACGTCAGCGTCATCTTTGACTTGATGAAGCTTCTTTATGTGATCCTCGCTACTGTAATGGCGCTCCTTTCTCTGGTCTTTGCCTTGGTTCGTGGAGATCGGCTTGCTTGTAGAGACGTCCCTCGTTTTCCATGGCGACTGTTGCGTCACCACGATTGTCCTTTTCAATTTTACGCAGGATAAAAACAATGGTTGCGGTGCGCACAACAAAAAAATTAAAACCACATTCCACTGTGTGGGCTCGAGCTCGTCGCTCCAACCCCTATTTTGGTCACGCAAGAACTTGGACACAAATTTATTTCCTACGCTTCGCGCATCGTGAATAATCGCGTTCGGCTTCTCGGACCAATAATAAAAAAGCAATTTTTGTTTGTTGCCCCCACGCATGAAGCAGCGTGGCTGTTCGATCTTGTCTCCACGACATTTTGGTTGCACGTCAAAATACCCCTAGGTTTTCTGAATAAATCATCAATCCTTCGCTGGGTTATGCTATACTTAGTTTCACCTTCAGTCCGAGCGCAGTGGATGCAACGCGCCGTCCCAGCCAATCCAGCGCCGGGGCAGTATCGCGTGATCTCGAGCTCCGCGTGTCGCTCCGCCCAACCACAAGGTCACGTGATACTCTCCCGGCGCTGGATTGGCTGGGATGGCTCGTAGCGTCCGCTGCGCTCGGACTGAAGGTGAAACGAAGTATAGATGCTCTGCGTTGATTTGGCATGTAAAGACAAAAGAATAAGGTTCCTTAAAACAGGGCCGGCTTGCTCGAACTAAGGCACCCTAGCTCGAACCATTGTCTGAGATGGGACTGTCTGAAAGAAAGCACTGCCAAAGCTAGCGCATGAGCGGAGTGGCGCGTGAAGTCGCGTCTCAAATGCTCACGCGCCCCGTGTTTGGCAGGCTTTCTTTCCTTCAAACGGTCTCATCTCAGACGCTGGTTCGAACAAGCCGGCCCTGATGTTTCAAGGCACATTTATTGGTTTTTCCTCGACAACACTCCTAAGCTGACAGTGTGGTGGAAGCTACGTACTTGCTGGACCAGTCACCTGTCGTTCTTGCCACACGTCATCACACTCTGGGTGAAGCGATAACAGGCAGTCGATTGATTCGTCCGATGAACCTGTAGTTTACATCGCATTGTCAGCTTAGGGGTGAACCCGAGTGTAGGTAAAATGTCATAGACATTTATGCGCGCTCACAATCAACTGACGACTGGGTGTTGTTTTCCTATCACGCAACCTGCGGAGTGAACAAACTGGTACCCGGCACCACCGTGCGGGGATATGATAAATGTATGCCCTTACTCAGTTTGTTTTGCTTCATTGCAAAAGGGCTGCGACGGTTTAAAAGAACACTTCCTTGCCGCGGAATAATGCCTTGTCGTCTTTCGGCGCGTCTTCATGTGAATAGAATCAGCTCCCAGTGTGTTTTAACGCCATAGCGTTAATGAGCTCGTGTTGCAGAAAAGCTGACGTCGGTGGCGTGACGCGAAAGCCCGGGATTGGTCGACAGGGTGATGACGTCACAGCCACATGACCCCGCGCGGAAATTTCAAACCCACAACGCTCACGTGAAAAGTGACGTCACGCGTGGAATGAAAGTGATAAAAAGACTACATGTAATGCGAATTAAGGATCGCCGCATGTCTCAAATGATTTCACTTTATGAAGTAATTCATTTTCTACGAAGAAAAATTTGAAGAATTTTAGGCGGGATTTGAACCCACGTCCTGTCGGTTGCGCGCCAGCACGCTACTCACTTAGCCACGTAAGGCAGCTTGCACGGCTTGGGAACGAAGAGTGTTGTGTCATGAGAACTAGGTCGTTGTGTGACTCAAGAGCATGAGAAGCGAATGAGAAGGCGATGCGAACGGGCCCCGATAACGCAATCGCGTTCCACTTTTAAAGGCGAAGCTCAAGTGTCCTCCAAGTTTCTTTTTTTTTTTTGCGTCATTGCCGTGCAACCTTAAGCAGAACGTGACATTCTACATGCTTTAAAAAGAAAAAGATAAAGATTAGTTTTGTGTTTTGGTGGAATGAGTTTTCTGCAAACTAGCAAGGTCCCAGGCTCTAACGGGGCGTGTGTTTGTGAACTAATCTTTTTGCGCTTTGCTGGGCTTTCAAGAGCGGCGTGTCAGTCTTGTACTACCTGGTCTGACGTGCGAATAACGATTCGTAGCCTTGTTCGCATGATAGACCCTCATTACAAATCGGACCGCCAGGCGTTCAGTTTTTCCACTGAACTATTCAAATTTTACACTGTGCATCGACATGCTTATACATCATATAAAGGGCAGTTTGACATTCTCGACATCCATTCCACGATGTTCTGTGCGTCTTGACAACGCTCTTCGTCCAATTTACCAATATATTCAAAATGGTGTTTTAAATCATGTGCGTGGAAGTTCCACTAGTAAAACAAATAGAATTGGCGAATTTTCTTAAAAACCATTTTGAATAGTGTTACTTACAGCCAGCGCCAACACAGATTAAAGGGGCACTAAAGTGAATTCTTAGTTTGCAGTTGACGATGGATATTTTTTGTGAGCATCTTGCCAGAAGCCCTGATTTCAATCCTGCGTCTAGGACGGACTTTTATTCTCAAGTTCGCCGTCACAGCGGGAGAACATATCAAATGGGTTCAGCAATATAAAATCAACCGTGATGCTGAACACAAGTAAGCTACTTTTTAATATTGATTGAAAGGTCAAGGAGTTAACAGACATTTCGAAAAATTACCCAATCATCAAGAAGCATGTTGTGTTTGTAGGTACACCCGCTCTGTATGCTGCCGTCTGGAGCGGTAATTTGAAACCAAAAGTTTTAAGCAAATGGCACGTTGCCCGCGCGTCCATCAGTGTGTGCACGTCAGAACGCACTGGTGCACGTCGCGTCAAATTACACTGTAGCATGCTCCTTGGGTTTGGATAATTTCGAAAAACATCTATACTTCGTTTCACGTGATCTGCGAGCGAAGCCAAAGGTACAAGTACAAGCAGGCTGCCTTGAATAATGCTTGCAATCCACAGGCACACGTGCGAAACAGGAACACTCAGAGCGCTGGGCTCGCACTTCTAGCTTTGACTTCGCTCGCGCATAAGGCGATACGAAATATATTTGCAACTTGTGGACGGCCCTGAGACACACGACTGAGGTGTTTGAAGCATGGTAGGCTTAGGGTTCCCAGGTAGGATTAGCTTGCTTATTTTTTTCCGGCCTAAAAAGAACCCACGCGAAATATAAAAGCACCACGAGACAACGCGCCCTCGTGCCGCGATTGGTGGGCGCGTTGTCACGTGGTCGAGCGTCCGACACTTCTTCGCTAGAATAATCTATAGTGTGGGTTCGCGTATAGTACCAGCTGAGGTAAATACAGCACTGACTCTACAATAGTAGGTAACACTTCCCCCCAAACCTCGCTTTTCTCCGACCGATAGGCTTCTGCGCCTATGACGCGTGATGAAGCGTTTTCTTCCAAAATGCGGTCGCTGGGTAAAAAGATAAAAGGGTGTGAGGGGGAACGAGCTATAAGAAAGGAGGTTAAGATAGCGGTGGACCGACGCACCGGCGTTTCAGAGTCCGTTCAAGGTTGATACGCCACGTGGCGTGAAAGTCAGGAACTAGGCCGGCATGTCCCAGAAAGCTGGCCATGATACCAGCGCCAGTGGTAGCCCCGCGTCTCCTCTGGATGACGATTCCCAGTGGTCCCTGCTGCTGCCCTTGACGCTGCAGCATCTCACTCCAGCATCGGTGTCCTTCCTGGGGCAAGGGGCTGTGGCCGCAGCCGCCATGTCTTCGGCAGACGCCTGCATGCTCAGCAGCGGGGCACTCTTCACGAGGAACGTCTACGTGCCGCTGCTGAGGCCCAAGGTTGGTTTCGACAGGTTTGGCAACAGTTTTAAGGGTAAAGATCGTGTTTATTTCTAGAAAAGTACAAATATAAAATCACTGACCAGCTTAAGCGTAAAACGCTCGTTGTGGGACCGGGCAGTGCATCCTAAAGAGTAATTATATTGGGTACTTTCTTCCGTAGACGCGCTGGAACAAATCTGTCCCAAAAAAGAAAGAAATGCTGCTGTAGCAAGACTGCCCATAAAAACATTTGTTAGAGACTTACTCCTAGACATTTAGACTGCACTGGTCCCGCCCATGGAAATGTTTGTTTATATCACACTTTTTTTAACAGAATGAGGAAAACGTTTAAATTGAAGTTAAAATATGAGCGGCATGCGCAGTAACAGTCTTCATTCCAAGGGATCTATAAAAAAAACGTTTTCACATCAAAGCTACAAGAACAGTTGATTAGTGTTTTAAATAAGATCAGCCTTTCAAATCCTAGCACTCCTATCACACAGAGCAAATGAAAAAACATTTTCATGAGTCGACCAAAAATTTAACTAAAGCTAAAATACCTTAAACAATAAATGAAACCCTACAATTTTCCAAAGTGGAGCTAGATGAACAAGATATTTGGAAGGATAAGATAAAATAAGAGAGAGAGAGAGAGAGTTTGTAAAAGAAGGAGAGAGCTTCTTTGCTACACCGATCTCACAGAAACGGGTGCTTTCATAGCAGTAAGGTACATTGTGGCGTCCATGAACCTTGGTTAAGGAAAGGCTAATCTCTGAGCGACTTATCTCATCTTCCTTATGATGCAAAGAGAGAACATGAACGCAAACATTCAGCGGACATCTGTTTGGTTGGTTAAAGTTATGAAGAGGCGTTCCAACCAAGTTCGACTGTAGGAGAACAATATATCAAGACGTTACACACAAAATTACATATACTTATTTTATCAATGAAATTGATTAGCAAAGATCGTTTCATTCTTTTTGGCAGCATCTAACCCCCGCCCCTCCTTCAGCAGAATTTAGATACATTGCCAATGGCGAGTCATATCTTTATCTCGCATCTACTTGATGCAATAGACAATATTTTAATCAAAGAGTGCTCAAACATTGGCACTGGACTGCTAACATTTCCGTAATCCTCTCGCACAGGCTTCCGAGGTCGAGAAAGTCTGGGTCCTGCGCACCTCCATCGCAGTGACGGCATTGATGTCGTCCGCGGTGGCTGCCACGGTAGATTCGGTGTACGGTCTTTCCATCATCATAAGCGACCTGGTGTACGTGATGCTGTTCCCTCAACTATTGGTTGTCGTACACTTCCCGTCACTATGCAACACATACGGATCTCTCGCGGCCTTCTTTGTCGGGCTGGGACTCCGGGCCGTCGGCGGCGAGCCCGTGCTGGGGATCCCGGCGCTGTTCCGGTACCCGTACTTCGACGAGGCGACTCAGCGGCAGCTATTCCCGCTCAAAACGGTTGCCATGCTCGCCAGTCTCGCAACATTGGTGGTCGTGTCGGCCGCCGCCAAGGCTACATTCAGGGCGGGGCTCCTGTCTCCTAGATACGACCTTTTGCATTGCCAGTTCATCGGGACAACTACAGTCAAAGCGGTACCCGGAGAAGAGACTGCTGACACCAAGGGAAAGACTCAAGTGAATCCCGCTGAATGCCGGAGCTTAACAGAAAACTCAAAAGTTGAAGCTTTCAGCAGCGTTTAGCGGCCCCAGGCCGAGCCAGCGTCACCGCTGAAGTACTGAATAATAGCTGTTTGGGTCGCCTATTTCATGGTTAAGGCACAGGCCCACAAAGTGTCATTTTGCCATCGGACAAATGTTAAATTTGAATCACAGTTTTATAAGAGCCCCTTATACTAAGAGGGTTCGGCTGATTGGCAAAGCTTATGGTCTTATATACACCTTTTCACATTAAGTCCGACGGCAGTCAACGCTACAATCCTATGAAGCCAATCGAACAGTGACAAAGGTGTATCGTCAAGGCGTTCAATGTCTGCGTGTTTACTATCATCGACTAAACTAGGGGTACTCCAAACGTTTTGGCTAAGGGGCTTGAGCGGGCATCTGTCGCGGTCTTGAGGGCCGGAAAATAATTGAGCAAATGCAAATAAGGAAACGCTAAATAAAAGTCCTAGATAAATATTTAAGAAACTAGCCTTTTCACTTTGATGAAGAAGGAAAGACCAGCGAAGCTGTACTATGGTGGAAATGAAGTAATGGCCGGGCGCAAGTCGGCAAGCCAGAGTGGAAAGGCTGGAAATGTTGCCGCCATCTATGAGTGACAGTGGCAACCAGACAACCTGCAAGCCGGTTGTCTGGTTTGCTGCCGCAACTCATAGATGGAGGTAGCTGTCCAGAGTTTTGTGCCGAGATTTGTTTGCCCACGGACACGATACTGGGGAAACTAGCCCTTAACAGCTCCACCGTAAAACACAATTTCAACTTGGAGTAACTCTGAAAGAAGAATCTAAGGAATCGTGACTACATCTACTTTATACAAAAATTAAATATTTATGTCAGTATGACATTACACAATAATTGTAACCCAGAATATTCATAATTTAAAGCGCCTAGGAGCACTGGCACGTTCACAAAGGGCAGAACACTAATGAGAATGGTCGAACTCGTGCTGACAATATGAAGTAAAGACACAGGACATTAAGCACAATATGCTCGGGAAAACAAAGGGATTGCAGCGTACGAGCACGTATATAGTTTCACATATATGAATCAGGGGACTAATAATAGTGATGCTCGTCCAATGAATAATACGGCGACAGGATCTGTGTTACAATATGCAGTTTCCTCTCGTTCCTTGTGGTGACGGTATTGCGTGGCTCGGGCCCTTTTCTTTTTCTTTTTTTTTTGTTTTTTCTTTTTTGGGGAGGGGGGAGGGGGGGGGGGGGGGGGTTGCGCCGGTAGCAGCGGCCTTGCTGGAAGCAGGCCACGGGCCGGGGCTTCATTGAAAGTACCGAGGCCAGCAAACGAATCGGTCGGAAGACACCCTTGAGCCGGATTTGACCTGCGGGTTAAAGGGGCCCTGCAATCATATATAAGCGCCTACCTTTTTTGCGGTTTACACGTCTCCTAGCGTTCGGGCAAGTCAGCGGGCACGGAGAGAGCAACTAAATATCAGTGCGTCATATTTTAACCGGATGACGCGGACCTCCTCCGCAGATTGGGGCGACCCGCGGTACCGAAAGCGCGCGATATGTGAGGTCTTTGGTCCAGGCCAACATTACTAAAACACTCAGTTGGGAACTGCCATAGAGACTACTCTGAAAAAGTGGCCCCGATTTCTTCTCGAGAACCGAGCTAATGGTGAACACAACGCCACCATTCCTCCCGCAGCGGCCACTCGAGGAACTGCACGTTACTTCTATTTTGGCTTTAATCGGCCATTGTGGCGCCGAAACAGATAGAGCGCAAGAGGTTACAGGGGTGCCACCCCCGTCTTCCCAGCGGACGCGCCGCGGCTTACTACCGAAGTTAAAATGCACCTAGGTCGGGACGCACTACTTGAAAGCACCGCTGAGGCATGGTTGTATAAAAACAATATCAATTGTGCCGCAAACCCTGCAAACTAAATATTTTAAAAACCTCACGCGCCTACCATTTTGTAATAAATCCCAATAACTTTCATACAAAAATAGTCTTTTCCGTTTGTTTTTACGCAAAAACATGCTTTGTAAAAGCTAAAGGTGACCACAGTACAGACAAATGATAAAGAGGGGCGCTGTTGTCGTATTTAGCTCGGTCTTGGTGGACGCCAGCGGCCCAAGTTTCGACGGCGAGTTTCCCAACTGAGTGTTTTAGTAACGTTGGTCCTGGCCTAACTACTGGTCAGAGCCGCTAAAAGCTTCTTTTCAGTCGAAATACAAAATATAAGTGGCGCGAACCGTTTCAGTTAATTGTAAAAGTAGTTTTTGTTAAGTATTTTAGATAAAAAAAAGAAACGAATGCAGTTCATAAAGCTCGGAAACAAGAAATGACCCGTCGACATACCCGCCACCAACGGTGGAAAAAGGCGGCGCATACTAGAAAGGAGTAGTGGGATCAGGCGCTGACACCGAAAGATCCCGGATGTACTCGGCGGCGCTGCGGTCGTATGGGCAGGAGGATCCGACTGGCTCCGAGCGTTCCGAAGGCCTTCAGCGAGAAGCTTTGTCTTGCGGTTTGGCCGTTTCGCGGTATGGCAGCGCAATAAAAGTAGCTCCCATTCTGAACTGATCTTTACCCCGTGTTTGCTGTCGTTTGTGGCCAATGAATTGTCTTGCCGAATTAGTATTTAATCGCGCAGCAAATGCAATGAGAGCCGCTCTGGCTGCCTGCTGCATACAGCCTGTCCAGAACACGCTTTGATGGCGCCCTTTCGCGCCGTCGACACGGAATGCGGCAGCCGTGAGCGCTCGATGAGCTCACTACTTCGCCTCCAGTTCACGGCCACTCCCAAGCAACCAAGGACGTCATGAGGGAGGTTATTGTTTGCTTGTTTTTGTAATTTTAATTTGTCTATAACTTTTAAAATAAAGGGAATTTCGAGAAAAGAAAAGTTTCACTAAGTTACTTCGTTCAGTGCGCTCGGGTTCGGTGCAAATTAAAAATTAGTAAAAAGGTAATTGCAGGGCCCCTTTAAGGTTTGGAGACCCCTCGGCTTGTCAATCACGCACAGTGATTCGGCGTCATTATTGTGTTTTCGTTCTGCGTGTGATTGGTTTAGTCGGTGATAGCAAACGAACAGAGATGACGAGCGTCCCGACGATAGACGTCTGACCCTGCTTGACTGACTACATTGGATATCAGCGCTGGCTGAGTCTCTCGTGCATAATGCGAAGCAGAGTGTAGTACACCATATCAACATTTTGAAGTCAAGGAACAGCGGTGGCGCTGCTGTCGGCACTGCGCATGCGCACACGTGGGGATCTGGTTTGTGTCCACATGCAGTGGACAAACGCTGTCTCGTTTGTAAACCAGTGCGGTCGTCCGTAAAGCAAGCCGACTTCGCGTCAACACAATAAGGCGCGCTGTCTGCTCTGGAAATGGCCATGGTTTTTTATATGCCAGCAGCACAGGATGGCGGAAGGAACGTATAACGTTTTCCGGTTGCCAGACATCCAGCCTCGATTCCTAGAATCTGGGCATCTTTACAGGACTGCCAAAATCTCCTAGTGTAAACCGACTCTGTTTCATCATGGTGCCATTATTTGTCATTTGCTGCCATTCATACATAAGCTATAATTACATCTTCCTGCTGTTTGTACGCTACGTTTTGTTTTCAAAAGATGACGCAAGGTAATTGTTGGCCCTGCTTTAGTTGTTTTCTTGTATGAACCATGAAAACGTTATATCCGAAATATGAATGGAGAGTTTTCTCCATGTAATACATTCACGTTTAAACGAGCGTTGCTCGAGAAACCAAGTAGTGCTATGCGGACGTCATGGGAACCAGAGATACAGAAGAAATATAGAAATAATTAAGAGATTATAGAAAAATGTAGAAAAAATAAAAGTATTTCTGAGAAATTCCCAAACTTATTCTAAAATAGTGACCTTCCTTAAACGTTTACAAAACCGAAAGCATTAAGCCGGTTTAGTTTCAATTCCTTTACATAAAAAAGTATTAAAAACCCCAGTTTCTTCTCTTCCTCAACTTAACAGCAACGCACTATGTGACGCGGTCGTAACTTAGCATTCCACCATGAACGGGAAAATCTCCCATCCGTGTAAGTGTTATAAAATTAACGTTCCGCGTTTCTTGAGCATCCCTTACAAGAATAATTCACAGTTCATAAAAATGTTTATCCACATTTTAACCACCTCTTTCAACTCTATATTCAGTCACGTCGTATGGACGATGTTCAATAGAATTTCGGTTGACTTTGTTTTATCAAAAATTTATAGAGTACAGGCGATACAAATTCTATAAAATTTCTATCGCCATGTCTCAGTAGAGATTCTGTGTCCGTATTCCTCTAGAATTTTCAATAGACTAAAGGCCAGTGTCTGCACTGTTTCATGGGCGCCGCCATGTCTGTTTATGCTGACGCCATGACACAGTACGGGCTCTGCTTTTTGCAAGACTCCATTTATTTCGAAATCTTTGCACATATCATAGTGCAAGAACGTCAGAAACGCATAGTTACGAAGCTCCAAATACAACACCGATGCCAACAATGCCATAAAAAGCAAAAATCTTGCTTTATGCTTATCCACCCTCTTCACAAGTGCCTGCGTTTGAGATTATGATTTCCCCTTTTTATCGCTGGGGGCCAAGATTTGGGGCACTGGTATATTTTGATAGAGTAATAAGATGCTGTGTGGAGAATCGACATCACATCCAGACAGAGCTTCCTTGCGGAGGCTGCCTTTTGTGAGGGTATCAAATAAATATTACTTTCGCAATGCTTTATAGTAGTAGATGCACACTACCAACCCTTAAAACCCCCATTTCGTATAAATTGCTCGCAAGAAAACAGCTACATGCTTTAATTTTGTTTATCTTCTAGGATGTTCCTGGTTCAAATGGTTGCCTTTTAAGTGTTGTGTATATATGGCGGTGGAGCACTCAATGCTACTGAATTACTGGCGTTATGAATGCTCCCTAGGGTGTGTATTTGTGATGCATGCTTATCTTCACAAGGAAATGACGAGTGCATGTTTCCATGGATGTACTGTGCCCCATACCAAAAATTACTATTCCAAAT